CTGTAGGATTATTATTTTATATACGACTCATGAGTAAGGCTCTGGGTGCTGCTCCTGGCGAGTAATTGGTGGGGGGGGGATAGATGGGTGGGTTGAAGTGGACCTCTTGTGTTGGATTAGGGCATGGTTAGCATATAGGACACAGGAGTTCAGCTTAAGTGGATTAAAGTTTAAGTGGTTGGGGAGGGGAGGTAGGGGGGGGGTGCCGTCACATGTTGTGTGGCTCAGGCTAGGAGACATCAGGCATTTACTCAACCAATTACGAAACCTGTACATCTTTCCTCAATCATGACGGCTTTGTTTACATGTACTAAAGTTTGTGTAGCCTGAAGAACTATTGGAGGTTGTCTATAATAATAACCTTAGGTTGTGAAGTTTCCAAGCTCGAAGTTTGTTTACTAAATGTAGACAAAGCAAAAACGATGAAGATGTACAGGTTTCGTAAGAGGTAGCATAAATGTTTACATCCTGGCCTCTCTGTTGTTCACCACACACATAATCATGATTAAATTTGCCAATGATACAACTGAAAATTAAATCTAAAGGTTTAACAGAGGTAAAGTAATTATCATGGGAAAGAACCAAGCCATTACGACTATATAACACTTGAAAGGAGTCAGGATAAGGATTTTGGACAAGACAGGGTAAAGGAATGGTGCCCAACCACTTGGACGGTCGGGGATTGAACGCCGACCTGCATGAAGCGAGACCGTCGCTCTACCGTCCAGTCAAAGTGGCTGAGTTGGGCAGAGAAAGTTAATAAAGAAATATAGATTTTGTAAATGAACTGATAAGATGTAGTAAATGAACTGATAAGATAAGATTCCTAGATGTAGTTCCCAAGCCAGGGAGAAGAGGTGCACTGGATGCACTTAACAATATCGAAACTGCAAAAGTAAGATAATTATAAGGAGAATGACTTATATATACAAGTGGGTATACCCGCTCTAGTGGTTGGGATGGGGGGGGGGGTTGTTTGGGATACCTGGCGTGTCTGATGGTGGTGGTTACAATGGTGGTGAAATTGAAATTGAAATAAGTTTATTGATGTAAAATACACACAAAGGGATGAGGTAGCTCAAGCTATTCTCACCCCGTTCAGTACATCGTGTTAATACATACATAGACACACATCACAAGCAACAAACATATTACCGAACATTCTGAGAGATAAACATCTACATTTCCTCCTTTACACAAGTACATTGGTGGTTGTTGTATACATTTTGACTCTATTGCACTTGGAAGGGATAAGACAATGAAGAAGGATGGGACAGAGAGAAAGATCGGTGCCCCAACCACCTGGGCCTTCGGAGATCGAACGCCGACCTGCAAGAAGTTATAAACCGCCGCTGTATCGACCAGAGTAAATGTAAAAAGATAAATGGTATATGACTCCAGAGGTTGTGAGTAGAAGGACTCTGCAGTTAACAAAACGATGTAATTACAACCCATAACCTTCAGTATTGGTATTCATGACTTCAAACTTTAATAAGACACAGAAAAATAACAATTGCGTTCTCTCGGACGTAGATTCGAACCCTCATCACGGCCCTAGTGGATTTGTTCATTTAATAAGAAAGTTTCTAATGCCATCTTTCCATCCGTTCCTCCTAATGGCACGTCGCATTTTGACGTACGCTCTAAGGCCAAAATCTGTCGTACTTGAAAATGGCAGCGGCTCGCGAAATTGACACAATGTCCCGTTTTCTGTTCGTGGGTCCTCTGGTAGGTTAGGATAAGGCACTACAGTACGAGGGTTTTTGACGTCGGGAACATTCGCGAGAACGGACGAGATCTTTCACTCTTGTTCTCGTAATGGTTGTGATGGGAGGGAAGGTGAGGGGGAGTGATGGGAGGAAGGGGTGTTATATGAAGGGGGTGCTATGGGAGTGTGAGGGGTTGATATGGAAGAGGAGGAAGAAAAGGAGGGGGAGAGGTTGACATGGAAGAGGAGGAGGAGGGGGGAGGGGTTGATATGGAAGAGGAGGAGAAAGGAGGGGGAGAGGTTGACATGGAAGAGGAGGAGGAGGGGGAGGGGTTGATATGGAAGAGGAGGAAGAAAAGGAGGGGGAGAGGTTGACATGGAAGAGGAGGAGGAGGGGGGAGGGGTTGATATGGAAGAGGAGGAAGAAAAGGAGGGGGAGAGGTTGACATGGAAGAGGAGGAGGAGGGGGAGGGGTTGATATGGAAGATGAGGAAGAAAAGGAGGGGGAGAGGTTGACATGGAAGAGGAGGAGGAGGGGGGAGGGGTTGATATGGAAGAGGAGGAAGAAAAGGAGGGGGAGAGGTTGACATGGAAGAGGAGGAGGAGGGGGGAGGGGTTGATATGGAAGAGGAGGAAGAAAAAGGAGGGGGAGAGGTTTGACATGGAAGAGGAGGAGGAGGGGGGGAGGAGTTGATATGGAAGAGGAGGAAGAAAAGGAGGGGGAGAGGTTGACATGGAAGAGGAGGAGGAGGGGGGAGAGGTTGATATGGAAGAGGAGGGGGGGAGGAAAATCTCGTGGTTCCCACGGTAGCCTAATTGATCCCCCGGGAAGAGTCACGATGCCCGGTAATAGACAATGAAGCACATGGCCCCGGGGTGAAGAGGGGAGAGGGAGGGGAGAGAGAGGAGAGAGAGAGAGAGGGGAGAGAGAGAAAAGGAAGGGGGAGTAGAGAGAGCTAGGGAGATGTGGTATATCAGTCGCAAGGGGAGTTTGGGGGAGAAGTAGAAAGCTTTGACTACTTACTCCTAAATATATGCAAAGTTTCTCACATATTCACTCAAACAATTTCCACAACTGTCTTTTACACAAGCATATTCCGGAGTGTACGTCACTGGAGTCCTCGTCGAGTTAACTACAAAATCTCAGTTGACTCTGATAGTGACGACATTATATTATGGCGTTATAGTGACGACACAACACTTTGTACTTATATATATAACAACATTCCATGTCTTATTTTGGTTAGGTTAGGAGAGGTTAGGAAAGGTTGGGCTGGCTTAGGTTAGGTTAGGTTAGGTTAGGTTAGGTTAGGTTAGGAGAGGTTAGGAAAGGTTGGGCTGGCTTAGGGTGGGTTAGGTTAAGTTAGGTTAGGTTAGGAGAGGTTAGGAAAGGTTGGGCTGGCTTAGGGTGGGTTAGGTAGCCTTGTGATTGGTTTGGTTTGGATGGATTACTTTAAATGGGGTTTGGCTGAGCTGGACTGGGTTGTACTGGATTGGGTTAGGTCTGTTAAATGAATAGCTGAGACGTTGATGTAAACCTTTTCTGAGGGCTTAGTTCAGAGGTTTGCCACCAGACTAGTCCCGGAGCTGAGAGGTATAACTAACGTGGAAGTACTAACAAAAAATTAAGCCTCGAGTCAATGAAAGAGAAAAGAAGGACAGACATGATCACAACGTACAAAATACTCAAGGGGGAATAAATAAGGCAAACAAGGATAGACTATTTAGCAGGATAAATACACGAACAAGGAGACAGATGGAAACTATAGTACCCAAATAAGCCACAGACACGTAAGACCAAATTTATTCACTGTCTAACTATCCATAGCTTTAAATATAGATATGACAGAGCCAAATATGCTATGGAACCAATACACCAATCGACAAAATGCCTGAAAAGCGGGACCCAAGAGTCGCAGCTCATCCCCCGAAAGCACAACCAGGTGAAGGCACTCCAGCGAGGTCGATTTTCCCAAGTTCACGCCCAATTGAATTAAAATTAGTAGACGACGCGATGTGCTTCAACACCCACCGGCGGCTGCTCAAGTGTACAGGATCCGCTCTCCTCGTTATCTCCTCCCCGCTAGTTCTGTTGTTAGCGCCGGGGGATGGGGATGGATGAAAGGGGGGGGAGGAGGGGGAGGGCGAGAGGGGTATCGGTACTTGATACCTGCCTCTTCCACGGTAATTGTCTCGTTAGTACCTGGGAAGTTAATTCGCCAACATTGCAGATTTATCTGTTTCGTGGCCCAGGGGGACACGGGTTAGATAATGGAGTGGGGTTGACGGGGCGTGGGTTGACGGGGCGTGGGTTGACGGGGCGTGGGTTGACGGGGCGTGGGTTGACGGGGTGAGGGTTGACGGTATATGGGTTAACAAACATGGATTGTATAGCAATAGGTAAGGAACTTAGGTGAAAGGAATTTGACAGTTTAAATATGAGTTGAGAGCAATGAGTTAAGCTGACAGAGGTTTAACCGGAGCTGGTGTTGGGTCAGGTTAATACTGACCCTTCAACATAACCCTTCATGGGTTAAGTAACTTGAGTTAAGAGAGGTTAAATGTAAGGGCTAAATGATGTTGGACAAAATGAGAGGTTAATTCCCACCCATTAGGTGGATATAAGGTCCAAGCTTGAGGTTAATTAGACCATAGGGAAGCAAGAAGCAGGCTTTGTGACGCACATACCCGACCCGCTGCGTCAGGCCTTGTGACGCACATACGCGGCCCGCTGCGTCAGGCCTTGTGACGCACATACCCGGCCCGCTGCGTCAGGCCTTGTGACGCACATACCCGGCCCGCTGCGTCAGGCATTGTGACGCATAACCTTGCCCCTCCCTGCGTCAAGGATCACGTCGGCTGATCGTTGCCAGGGAAGGGCGTGGAAGACACCAATCACATCCCACGCCCCGGCGAATGGCGACAGTAGCTTCGAAGTCAGTCGTCTGGCGTGGGGCGCCGAGGCGTCACGCCAGATGCACCCCGACACCCGCACACCGACCGGCGTTTACGCATGACTAAACCCCCGCGTAATTGGCGTTAATTTGCCTTAGTGACGGGTAGCGTGCGGCGGCTGCCAGCCGAGGCGTCACTTACCCATCATGTGGGTATTATTGACTGATGACAGCTGTGTGGGGGAGATTAGGGAGAGAGGGATGGGGGGTGGATAGGCTACGGGTGGATTTGATGGTTACAAGTGATGGGAATAGGTGACTCTCTCGGTACATTTGGTGATAGGTTCTGGTAACATTGGTGATGGGAACTTTAATGTGGTTGTAATTGATGCTTGGAG